GACGATGCTCTGCGTACACATGTCTCTGATTCCATACACCCAAGATAATAATTTCGTAACAGCAAGTTCATTCATTGAAACGTTCACTGCACAAAGATTGGTTTTGAAAGAAGATTTCTCCAGAGAATATTTCAAAATAAAATTATTTATTTGGATCGTATTTATCAAATAAATTCATATTTTACCTCTTTGCGATAACCGTAACCGCTGTGGCACAGCGAATATGACACAACTCAACTTTGCTTGGAGGTCAAGATGATTTACACTGAAAATGGTTTGAAAATCTTGTACACTGGATAAAATTAGACGAATTAACTGAAGAACTCAAGTTCTTAGAACTGCTGCACGAAGTGATTAGATAATAAATGAGCCAAAGCACCTGGAAACGATAATAATACCTAAAAACAATCCATATATGCTAAAAGTGTGCTAATTAAAATCATCAAACAACACAACTTTTACATTAATTCGGTTCGCTTCATTTGCTTTTATTCAGTGTATTAGAGTTGTATAAGCGTAGATTATTCTATTTATTCAAATGGGAAGTTTCTTATTTTAGTTGTTCGTTTTATCAGTAATCTCATTTACGTATTTTTCAAAATCAATGGTCGTGGCATCAGTAGCCAAGCGATTAAATACGCTTAATTTCGATGAGCTTCAAGTCGATCTCCGTTGTTTTCCACTTCGTTGCCAGATATTTCGATTCGTGGATGTAAATCGTCACTTTGCTGACGTACAACGTTTTGGCCAACAGCTTTTCACGTTCACGGTTCATCGCAACTGGATGGATGGCTTGGTTAGGATTTTTACTTGATGGAAGGACGAAGACGACGACCTTCTTTAATTTTGGTGAAAGGTGCACAAACGGTAAAATGTCATCGATATCAGCCACAGCAAAATTCACCTCATTGAGGTTTTGAAGGCTCTTCGCCAGTGCCGGTTTGTTTGCAACGTTTGCACAATTTCCGCTCAGGTTAATAAATGTAAACACTTCTAAGTTCACAAGTGATGACAAATCGACCATTTCTCCAATGTCGGTTCCAATGAATCTAACGAGGGACTTCAATGAGCTCATTCTGTCGACAACCGTTTGAGTTGCATTGGCGTTAATATGTAATCGTTTGTATACGCCCTTGGCATGTAACATATTTAGGTATTCGCAGTCATGCTGTTGTAGCGAATCCGTCGTAATCCACAAGTCGTCCAATTTGAGTTCCATCATTGCGGTTTCGTTCGGTAAAAGCCAAAATTGCGTTGATAGCGAACAAATAGTAGGGTTTTGCCGCAAAAACGTTTGTAATTTGTCAGCACTTAGATGGGTTTTAGTAAACCATGTGAAATGCTCCAGTTTCGGGTTCTTTTGGGTGATCCATTCATCATTAAAATCACTCATTTCAATTTTCAAGCTTCTTGCGTTTGTGAGTCGTGTAAGAACACTTTCAAATGGTTCTTTCAATTAACAAAGATTAAAGGTAACCTCTTCGATTTGGTTCAAGAATTTCTTGGGTATCATTTTGATTTGTTCCCAATTAGCTCCAGTGACATGGAGACGCTTGACTGATTTGTATACTTCCCATTCAACGTCTGCCAAATTGAGGTTGTTACATCTTAACAAACAATGAATTGATAGCTTCCCGGTATATTCACGAAAACCAACGTATCCACTATTATGCTCGAAAGGATTTTCGGAAAATTCTTGTTGATAAAAATGACCGGCCACCCGTTGCATTCGCTTGCACGTTTGTCCAAAAGAGTGTAGATCTTTGATCGATAGATAATCAAACACTTTTTCGAAGCAATCAACGTTCAATTTGAAGATTTGCGGTGGTTGTTCAATGTCCATGTTCTGCTGTGGTTCATCCATTCCTTTTGCCAGTTCACCTTCGACGTTTCGTGGATCCATTTGATGTGGTGTAATTTTTCGATGCAGGGCTAACGAATGATGTCGTACACACAAGTGTTATCCTAATTAAAATGAGATTAAAAGTGGAATTGATAGAATTTGAACTTTTCTTTTAGGTTTTTTTTCTTCTCAAAATCAATTGATTCAAAATGAAATAGTTCGTACCAAAGTCCTGTTTCGAACAATGGATGCTGATACAGCGTCTGTAATTTGCGTCGATTGTGTGATGTTAGCTGTCGTCTTTGCACAAACACAAAGCAGACTGATTCGTGTTATTGCGTGTTATTTCACAATTGAACAAAATTTGTACATAAACGAGCTGATCACTAAATTTGTCGGTGTTGTTGTCGTATTTATTTCGTAGAATTGATGTTTTCAACTTGAATAATTGACGAAAAATAAAATTTCTTCATAAAACCATCTGATAGATTGGAGAATGGCTGAAAAATTGTGCGACCGTTGCTTGCAAACGAAATGTTCAAATATCCCTTCGTTAACCAGTGACTTTGACAGTTCATTCGAACACACACAGATGACCGCATTAAATCGGTTGAAAACGACACAATTTGACAGCAAAAACCAAAAATACATTGACACTGAATGTACAGAATGTGACAAGAGCGAAACTAGTGAAAATATTCATGAACTGACAAAGTAATCACAAAGTTTCTATCTTAATTGCATTGAAAAACACAAGAACAACGCCTGGAGGTAGTCGAAATTGCAAGTTTCAATCATTTAAACATGAATAAACATGTAAAGCACATATACATTTCTGTGACGTAAAAAGTCTCATGCTATCGGTGGAAAACGAGACAGCCTCAATACGCTATCACGACACATCATCGAACTGTCAAGCAGTTTTCGTTTGATCGAAAGGACTTACCGGTAATTCCATCAAACGCAATCAATGTGTTATTTCAAAACAAAAATGACTATGATTAAAATTGAGCGAAAGAAATAATCGGAGTTTTACTCTTTGTATTCATAAGAGAAGACGACGATATATTCATACATATATAGGAATTCACGTTCTGACAATGGAGAAGTTTTGATTGAAAAAATGGTTGATTGTAAATCAAAACTGGGAAAAATGAACAAATACCTTAGCATGTATAGGTTTTTTGCATTATTTTCGTTTTCGCATGTTAAATTCTCTGTATTTCTACTAAAATTGTAATTTGTGAATTGCGCACACAGCAACTCGTTCAATACATACAACTGCACCGACTTGGTGACCAGTGCGTGTCTATGTATTGGCGCGTATATGAATAGTAGCCACTTGAGCGTTCGCATAAGCAATAACACATTTTTCCCTAAAATTTGTGTAAATTCATCTAAAAACAGTTGAAACCGCTATTTCACACTGTATCTAGATCACTCATTCCCCTCCGAAATTTTGGTGTGTATTCATGTCAAGTGATGAATTTACTTCGGAAGAATATTGTAAATGGCCACTGTCGTTGACATTAAGAATTGATCACTGTCATTGAGATTAGGAATCAGAGGCATGTGTACGCAGAGCAGCGGTTTACATTCGTCAACGACCATATCATGTAAAAAGCACCAGTTCTCGTC